AAAAAACATGCGTTATGTAGTACAAACTATCCACGGAAAAATTTTATTCCTTCATGTTACTTGAGATAGCAAGATATTTTCAACTGTTAAGCCAAGTATTGCGATGGTATCAATATATGTGTTTCAAACACAATTTTTTAATCACATGTAAACAAAGAAATGAATAATTTTTACTTTCAAATATGTGTAGAATTAAAATAAACAAATAAGAATTTTATAAAACTAAAAAATTACTGTCGATATTATTGCCATCTATTCCTCTGAAATTTTATGAAAATAAAAAAATTATAAAAAACTAAAATATGACGAATTTTTCATTATAAAAAAATAAAGAAACGGTTAACAAAGAGATAATGAAAAGATTGATTTCAATATCAATAAATAATAAAGGCTGTTAAAGCCCAATAATACAAACAAAAACAGCTATGCAGTGAAGGGTTTTGTCACCGTTATTAAAATAGTGTACTAATTGTAAAAAATACAGAATGTTTAAAAGTATGTAGGGTCCCGAAATGTTACTAATAAATTACCTGTGAATCAGAAAACTGCAAAAAAAATCAACAATCAACAAATCCAATGTGTAACATCAACAAACATCGATCAGGAAGCCTTACGACTTAAATTCTTTTGAAATGGAAAGATATTTAGAAATTTGGATGGCTTCAAGTGCTAAACTTTTTGCAAAGTAAGGAATTTTCCATTCAAGGAAGAAAATGTACTCCGTTGAGAAAAATAGTGGTGAGAGTATTTTGCAAAGTAAAGAATTTTCCATTTTAATATTTCCAAGCTTCCAAAGAATCATCCAGTGATAATTTGTACAAAAGTTGCACCTATAGAAATAATCACTTAAAGAAATTTATGCGGAGAGTTGTAACCCACGCTTCTGGCGCAAAACACGCGAAACATAAAGATAGAAGAAATCAGCATAAAGTACAGTTTGAACGATTCCAGATATGACAGCAATGGGATCGAAAAACCCTTCCGTATAATAACGATAGATCCAATTCAATATATATAAAGCGCTGAAATATATTATTTTGTGATATTGTAGTTTTTTGTGGTAGTTACTTATTTCTATAAAAATAATGCTTAAAAATTCTCCTACAAATGCTCTAATTAAATAAATTATCTCTTTCCCATTAAATAAAAAAGCTGGTGCCCCATAAGCAATGGCTGCAAGAGATATGTGAACGCAACATAAAAAAAATCAATAGCTGACTATGAGTCAAGAAGGTTCAGAAACAAATTACATGTATCTTTGAATGTTCATACAAGATATCTACATACCGATATGAACCAAGTGCGAACAAATAATGTGCAGTGATTGTTTCAGCGCTTCCGGTGCGAGAAAGCATGAAGAGTTGTGGCATAATGGCAACAGCTTCCAAATAAATCGAAAATGTCCACATCACCTACAATTGTAGATATCACTTTAATCATTTCAATTCAAAATGGAGAAAAAAGAGTAATACCTCCATAACCGTAAATTCATGATTGATAAGCAAGGCCAAAAGAGCACATGGAAGCACCAAAAATTCGATACGAAATGTATCGTGGTTTCGGTCATAAGTTGCTCTGAATTTGATCCACATCAGATACAAAGTACCGAAAGATGACACTAGAAAGAAAACCTGCAAAAAAAAAAGATTAGAATCCTTCACGGTGATAAACGACTAAAGAAAAATAACATATCTATCAGTGAGTAACGTGTAACAGAAACTAAAATGAATGATAAAGCTATTTGTAGCTTTTTAAAAAGAATACGGTTGAAAGGCATTAATTTGGATGACTAAGTAAACAAATAAATTGAAACAAAAAATTCGATATATCTGATAAGTTGCTTGAATACTTTCTTCACTCATATAAAACAAAATGAATAATGGCTAAAACTGTGTAATCTGACAAAAATTGTCAAAAAAACCTTCATGGCCGAATTGTAGAATGAAATGAAATTGGTGAAAAGATCCAAGTATCGAGATGTGAAAACAGCAGCAAAAAGAAGCTGTGATCTGCCTGATATACCGGCAACCGATCGTGTCGTCCACATCTTCAATGCCAAAATAAAAATGGCAACAAGATGCGCCAAGTCTGCTGTTAGTCGAAAGATGTTCATCTGAAAATGTATGCTGGAGTCACGCTAATTAATTTATGACTGCTTAGTTCATAAACAAAAAACAATATTACTGTTAATTACTCAATATGATGTGAAGTTGTAAAACTGTATAACTAATACAAAATTTTGCTAATATAAAAGAAATTAATCCCAAGTATATAAGGAAATGATAGCAAGACAAATACTGGCATAAGGCATCAACCATATTATGTATCCTCAAAGAACATGAATTTTATGAACATTCCACAGCCGTTAACTGCTGTTTAGCTATGAGGAAAAATGCTTCCTGTATCTTGAAATTTGTACTGTATAACGTACTGAATGGCAGTAAATGAAGTCTATTGATGGAATGATTATTAACAATGACAATAGTTAACGACACGAGACTTCACTGCACGTAAAGATTACTATTACTGACAATTTCCTTGTACTATTATTATCTGAATAAAGGACAATTTATAAGTTATTTTCAAGTTTTACCTATTTTATAATACGTGTCTATTCGAGAAATGTACTATTCGGGACAATGCAATAGAATGTGACATAATATTTTAACTTGTATGTACAGATATCTCCGAAATAAAGCTAATTTCCCAGTGATCCCTACATCTCCCCTCCACTAATTCACACTCCATTGAAGAGAACAACCACTTAAGGACTGGAAACCGAATAGCAATCGCCGAGACATTCAGTAGCACGATGAAAAGTATCGTCCCAGGCACTCCCGTTTCGATAACACTATACTAGTAGGAGTTCTGAAATTACTTTGATAACACCATATTACCAGGAGTCCTGAAATTACACTTGGTTTGATTTCCGGAGAAGCATTAAATATAAATAGAGATAGACTGACGAGGGAACTAGACAATAGGAGGAATGGTGAGAGTAAAAGTGTAATCATTAGTAGCAAATAAAGTTTATTTCAGGAAATTCATTTACACACATCCTTTTCTCCACATGTTTCATTTGCTGAAGAAATAATGCATTCAAATGCTATAAGAACTAAAATATCATTTTTATTAGACATATGTATGTAAACGGAAGGAATCTTCCAAACAAATTATCATTATGAAAAAGAAAATTAAGACATATACTATGAGCGAAAGAAAGACAAAATAGCAACAAGAGAATAAAATCACAACTTTATCCGAGATTTTCGATTGTGAAACAGAACCGTTTATCATTATTAATCCAGTTTACTCAAAACTCACAGCATAACCATTGGCATTCCTTTTATCCATCTGGCATCTTTTCTTCTCCATTGAGGGATCTTAAAATAAATTCCATTTGCTGCTAATGATTACACATTTTACTACTACTAAAAGTTATCAATCTTTTGAAGATCACAACCACTTTTCAAGTTTTTTTGAAGAACAAAAAGCTCAGTTACTTTTATTATTTTTATGATGATTTGGAAAAGTTTCCTAGTTTTCGTGACAAGTCAACATTTCTGGTTTTTATCACATGTTAGGGAATTATGACAAATTGTTACTAATTTAAATCTTTAGCAGCGACACGGAGTATGAAAATTACGATCGTTTTCTTCAGCAGTGATAAAAAATGCATTTAATTTCGTCATATTCCAATATTTCTGAGAAAATATTTCACCATATAAGCTTGGTCTGGATCTTTCCGAGCTAAAAGCAAATTAAAATATTACCGTATGAAATATCATCAATAGAATAAATACGGTGTCATTAAAAAACAAATTTCTTGTTACTTACTGCAATTTTTCAAACAATCCAATGCCAAACGAGTGCAATCTTCGTCATGTCTATTGTATCCCAGTACTTTTGAGAAAAGATTTAGATAGTTGAAGTGAAAGTTACATGTCTAAAAACATTAAGAAATAGATGAATAAATTTGAGAAAATACAAGTAGGATGAACTCAAAAAAATATTTTAATTTGAGGCATTGTAAAAATTAGTCATAAAAGAGGCCCCTGCATATATTTGATTAATGAAAACAGTCGAAGCAAAAATGATGATAAAAAAGATAGAAAGAGAAACGACTTAATAAAATCAACAACCGTAAGTTAAATTTTCAGAAAAATGAATACCTCATCAAAATGTAAAGCACACAACAATTTATAAGTATGGAAGACGTTTATCCATCGGATACTCGCCTAAAAAATCTTACAACTTACTGTCTAGTTACAAATGCGTATATATTGAATAAAATTTTTGGAAATTTATGCAAAATTAGATGTAACTTACGTTTTGTAGTAGACGATTGGCTTCTTCTAGCTTTTCTAAACAAATCATAATTGAAGCAAAGGTTACGGAAACTTTCCATTCTGGCCAGTATGTCTTCGCTACGGCAAGGGCTGGAAAAAAATCAGTGGAGAAAATACGTGTCCGACTGGACAACTTGTTACTGAGATTCATAAAGAATTTCTACCTTTATTGGTAAGATTTTTATCATTGATTCTGGCAGCATAATGCAGCAAACAGATGATACCATTTGGAAAATCAGAAAAATGGAAAAAACTGCAAACTTTCAAAGCTTCTTCGAAACCAAATCTGTAAAAGGAGAAGTTAATCATATGCATGTTAAAACTTGAATTTAAAGAACGACGGATCATAAACAGAATCGAGTGTTGTAAAACAAGAAGACAACAAGTTCAATGAACTAACTTGGTTAAAATAGATGAAGCAAATGAAGTTGATACAGTTTCAAAGAAGCCGGATTGAACCCATTTAAAATCTGCGAGTATTCTAAACATTTTCGAGCAGGCAATTAATGGCTGAATAGTTTGATGAGAAAGTTCTAAGCTTTTTTGTATCAGCTTCTTCAGCGTTTTCTGATTCCGGGTATTTGAATGAAGATCTAAAAAATTTAGCTTCAATTACAATGAATTTAATTCTCTAATGCGCTACAGTCCAACTTCTCTGAAGTGTTGAAGATGAATGTATCAAACAATAAAACAGCGAAAAATAAAATGTTGAGTGTATGATGTACGTCACATATTGCATAAAGTATCTGCATGTGTACTTTTCGGATGAATTCAGAGAACAAATAACTTCAAATGTGTTGCCTACCTTTAGCAACAATTTGTTGTAAGTAATAAATAAAATCAATCGTCATATTAAAACTCTTGAATTCATCCAAATGTCGAACCAGTATCAATAAAACATTGTCAATAGTTAAGTGAATCAAACTACTGCCATCATCATGTCTAAAAATGAGAAATCGACATTCTAAAGCACATTTTTTTATGTTTAAATTGAATTTAAAATCAAGCAAGGTGAATCAAAAAAGTAAAGAGCTAACATCTGTTTTATGTATTCTATGAGTAGGTTCCAGTCAGCTTTATATATGTATAACATAATAATGGGTTGGAACAACTGAGGAATCTCTACCGAACCATTTATTTTGAAGAATTCATGGATCTTATCCACTTCCTGTAATTAACAATAAAATTTCAGCATAAATTTCGTGAGAAGCAAGATATAAGATGATCATTTTATTTATCTATATTTTATTAAAGTTATGATCCTTACATCGACTGAATGAGATAAACAAAGATCAATTTAAAAATGGCTGCAAACTTTGTTTTTAAAAAATCTAAAAATTGTATCAAGTGGCGAAGTACCTGATTCAAGATGTATTTCTTCAACATAGTTGAAAATTTTTCACTATGATTCCTTACACCAGTTTTATTTTGATTACTTCGTTCTTTCAGCCACCTGAAAATTATTTGAGTGTGAAAACCGTCGGAGCCAAGAATTTCATTACAGTCCTTTGTTTAAGAGATATGAAATTTTCCACAAATTCTACCTTGAAATTAGAACAAATTGCTCACTTTTCCAAATTGTTTGTACCTATCACAATAGGTTCTAAGAGCTTGTAAGTACTGCCTTCTGGTATTTTATGCTTCTTCATAATATCCACAATACAAGAGAGCTCTTCAGTGTTCCATTTATTTTTTTTTGCATCATCTAATCCTGGAAAAATATGCCAGGAAATATCTGTAATTATTCATAAACTAATATATTGCACACAGTAATGAACAAATATGAAATTTGATCAAAGATGAAAGTTTCAATAATAAAATGATATCAAATAAAAATATCAAACCGAGTAAAGGCTGCAGCACCAGTTTTTGCACAACGCTATAATTTAAGTGATTTAAACCGTTGTAGCCAACTGATAAAAAACGAGCCAATATTTCGAGGCGTTGCTCAACTGCAGATGCACTGAAATTAGTTTAGTATGAAGCAAACCTTCGAGAAGTACACGAAATAATAATTAATATACAATAAATGAGACAAAAAGGAAAGGAACATACCGTATAAGTAAGGGTATAATCAGGTGAATCTTAATGCAGAAAGGATCCAAAATTTCCAAAAGCTCCAAAGTTAGCAGTAAACATTTTTGAACAGACAAAAACTTATGTGTCAAAACACAGTATAAAATTTGCTCCAGCAAAAAGTGCCTAAAAATTTGAGAATGTAAATCAGCGTGTGGTTTTTCTTAGGCATTATAAATTTAGATAGATATTTTTTAGCAATAAAATTCGAAGTTCTTACGCATGATGAGTGTTTCGATTTATATGCGTAAATAAAGTTTTCAATTCTTCCAAAGGCAAATCAGCATTAATTAAAGCTTTCGAGAAGCAATCAACCCAGTCCATATGACGTCCAAAATCTGAAGAAGTTACAAAAAACTTAGGACAAAAAGCATAATTTCAAATCTTTTAGATGACGAACTTCATAATCTTTATAATATATAAAAGAAACAGAATTAACAGCAATATTGATGGATTTGATAGAAAACACACCACTTCCACTTCTAAAAATGGATTTGGCGGATGTATGCAAATCACTATGAAAGTATGAGAGAGCTGAATAAAACATCCCATGGACCGCGTGTCGATTTGCTTCCCGAACCATCAATTTAAAGAAACCATGCTCTTTTCTTACTTTCCGAAGTATCTAAAATGAATGATTATAACGAATGATGAGTGAATGATGAATATCTACAATGAATAAAAAATGAGAATACATGCTTGTGAAAGAATTAGAAACTGACTTCAGTGCAAAGTTGTTCATGATCTTTGCCCATCGAATCGCTACCATTACGCGCTAGTAACCAAACAAATTTCCCTACCATTTCATCAGTAAGCAATTTCAATAATAAATTCGACGAAGAGGATGAATCCAATAACTTAAAAAAAAGAACCACAATACAGCCAACACATAGAATTATTCGTTTTCTGTTGAAGAATTTAAAACTCATATTTTAAGTCACTTCTTATATTCGATGGAATTTAAAGAAAACATACCAGCTTGAAATTTTGGATATTACATTTTTCGATAGCAATTTGACAGCGCACCACAAAAATTAGTGGTTCAATTTCACTGCCATATTCTTCAATAGCATTCTGCAAACAACAAAATATTCATTAATAATCGTTATTCACTGTACAAGAATAGAAGATTTTTTAGTTCAAAAAAGGAATTAATTTGTAAGTTTACAGAATATGCTAGATTCAAATGTACGAAATATATTTAGAGATGCTCACTTGAAGCAGCTCCATTGCACTTTCATCATCGTTTTTAAAATAGCAGTATATTTGCGATGCTTTCATTTCTGCGTTCACGGGCAATTCGCGCCTTTTTATTTCCCTTATCATCCAACTAAACGAAAAATTACTGAAATCATACAAACCCTTCTGAACATAATTTCCATGATTCACCCTTTTCCACATTACGTCAAATATTGGATAGATTTACTGCATTTGTTACAAGCTCTCACTTAATGAACTATACATTTTAATAAGCATAATGAAGCAACAGAACATACTTCATTGCATTAATGCTTCCTGTCATTGAGAGCTCCTGTAGAATAATAGTGAAAAATTCTTCATCTGGCTCGAGACCAAATGTTGTTTCAGCTTCCCTCAACATCTGCAGAGCATCGAATGTTTGATCGTTTTCAATTAAGATCTTCAAACGGCTTTTCATCGCTGCTTGAGTTATTGGAATATCTTCAATTATATAAATTTGGGAATGCGGCATTTTACATAATTTTTAAATCATTAACAACATAATCACCATTTCAAATAACTGATCTCTGTAAAATTCTAATTGAAATAAGTATTAGAAAATTCAGAAACCTACTTGCATGAATAAGTGCATTCCAAAGACGATCAGCTATTGCAGTTTTTGCACTACATGTAGCATCACTCATTGGCAGGCCGCATAAACTCAATAAAAATGGAATATGAGTGTCACCAGATCGCTGCAGGAATTCTATCACATTACCTAAAGAAGTGGTAAAATGAGGACAAACAGAACTGTTTCAAATATCTAGCATGACAACATTCTATGTATTTGAAGGCCGTTCAAAATGAGACCTCCTTATTAATCAAAATAATAAAGAACCATTTTTTGATTCAAGAGGTATTAAAATGCTGTCAGTAAAGACACGTGATTGAATCGTTAGCCGCTTTTGATAAATATCTCGCAATCCAGCAATAATAAAATCTGGTGACTGCTTCGCTTCATGCTGCAAAATCTATTGAGATTTTACTGTTCGTTCATTTACTAATTAATGATTTTTGAAAATGCTCAACCTAACAATTAAGATTAGACATCATGATATTTTTGACGCGAGTACAGCGTAAAGTACTGAGCTTTTTTCGAAATCAAAACTGCAATATAAACAGGATGTAGCTCGTTAAACAAGACTACCTCAGATAAGGAAAGCGTGAGGAGATATTTATCTTTCTTAGTATTACCATCTTTTTTTACGATATGTTCGACTGATTCAGCGAATAAACATCGCTGAACTGTTAAAGCTACTTGCTCTTTCCGAAGCAATGTTAAACAGTGCCTCTGTTTCGGAACGATAACTGATCTGTGAAATCTGAAAAAACACAACTGCATGTTATTTCTCTTTCTTATTCCAAAAACTAATTCCCAGCAAGAAAAGAACATGTTTTTCAGGAAAAAAAAGAAGTTGCAAATATTTTTAATTAAGATTTCATCTTAAAAAAGCCCTCTCTTTTAAAAAGCATAATATAAAAAAGAAATTAGAGACATACGGACGCCAAGCAACAGTTAGCCAAAAGAATCGTCGAAAATCCTGCATAGAATCACATTACTCACCACCTGAAAAAATAAACATGATGTTGAAAAAAAAAAGAACATACTGCTCATTCTGTCTATCGCGGCCTTCATATTTCTTACTTCGTTTACTTTACAATGATATTCATTAACTTTTGTCATATCTGTCTATGGCAAAATCGTCTTAGTTATAAAGTATCAGTTCATTATGGGATGATATTAACCGGCTGATAACAACACATTACTCCAACAGTCATATCATCATAGTCAACCCCTCATCAACAATTAGAAGATTGTTCGTGACACATCCCGGTATTTCTCGAAAATCCGCCGAGAAGTTTGCGAATAACTCTATGAAATTAGCTATCCCATTAACTCTATGAAATTAGATTCTGAGCCTGAACTCAGGGTAAAGGAGAAGAATATCAAGCCTAGACTCAGGAAATCAGCTTTTTGCTTCTCAACGGTAATACTATTCCAGTTGTATTAATTCGAAATTATCTTTATTCAAATATTTAAAAAATAAAATCCACGAAGATCACGAGGTATTTCCTGGCGTGAATGATCCGGTCGAGGTCAAGTTGAGTGACGATTCATGAGATTTACATTTTGCAGTATCTTCTGTGCTCGATGCGCTCATACTTTGTGTTGAATCAATTCTTTGTGTCTTCCTGTCACAATTTAAATATTCTTTTATTGGTGCTAACAAAAAGGATTCAAACAACTAAAATATTGACGTAAAGATCATTTTAGGCATTTTCTCGACAAAGTTTTTTTTGTTGATAATTTTGAAAGCTAACTTCGAAAATAACAACTAAATTTAAGTGACACTCTAGCTGTACTTTCTGAGGGTTGATCTTCGTCCATCTGATGATAAATTGCTGAACTTCACGTCGCTTATTTCTTTCACATTTCTCGCTTCGCTTACTTCACGACGATATTCATTTATTTCTGTTATTTGCATTGCTGCCAGTACCGCTCGCACTGTGATCTAAATTACTTTTAGAACAACTAAAGAAATTTTTGGAATTAGTTTGAATTTTAGAATTCGATGAAATTCCATCAAGAAATGAGGTAATTGAACAAATTATTTTTAATTAACAAATTCTTCTGTTTTCCCACTCATACAATTTCATATTCTCATTTCAATATACTTTTATTAATCGTTAATTGTATGAAATGAATAAAGAGAACCTTAATATAATGGAATGGTGGTTCCACGTAAACTGTTTTCAGCGGCATGAAGTATAAATTGCTTAGATCCACAGAGGTGCCCTTATCAAGACATTGCAAATAGATTTGCTCGATAAGTTCGACACCCAATTCAAGAGGAGTAGCAGTAACGCGAACACCTGCTATGTCCTCATAAAATGCCTCACCTGTCAGCATTACTGCTACTGATCTGGACAAGGTTAGATAAGTAATATTTGTGCTTTGGATAAAACATAATCGTTAATTAAAGAATGATTTGTAATGCAATTGGTTTGTTACAGATGTTGTAATCAGGTTGTGCTGCAAATTGCACTATGAAAATGATAGAATGAGCAGGAACTGTAAGGAAGGCAGTCCGTTATGGAAGATTCACACTATTAATTTCAGCTATCATTATTAATTACCTGGATGAATATCCTTGTTTATAAACGGTAAACTTTTTCACCCTGCCAAATGAGCTATGAATCTGGCATAAATTGAAAAGTCGACGCATTGTGTGAATATTGAACGATAATTCCTGAGTAGTATTTTGGATAAAATAAAATAAAATTTGTAAAGTGTAAATCGTTATTTTTGTTTTGAACTTTATAAGATTTTTTGGAACAATTCTAAATTATTTATAAACATTTATAATACTTTGAAACCAGGATAATTTTCTAGTGTTTCTTGAATACGATAAATTTCTTGTAATGGTGATAATGGATTCGGTTCCGATCGTAGCCAGTCAAAAGTTGCATGATCCCGATGTATTCCAATCCGTCGATTTGTCCATTGAAATAATTCATCATGCAAATAATTTTAGTTTACTATAACGTTCTATGATCTGAATGATATTGTTCGAATGTATCAAAACGCTTGAATGAGAATTATAAATCTCTGAGCTTTAATTTATTTTAAATATACGCTTCAACGGTGTGTTTATGAAGGATTCACTTTCATTTCTCCAAATATTTCTTCAATGATATCGTCAAGTGTTATCAGACCAACAAGACTGTAACTTTTACTATCATATTTCACCACCATTGCTAAGTGTGATATGTAACCTAGAAAAGGCACTTAGGAAAATGAATGGAGGATTATAAAAGAAAGAAACATAGTGAAATAGATTGAAATGTGTGGTGTTCCGTCTATTTGTAGTAAAATGGAGCAGACTGTTTTAATAATTATCCATTGAAAGCTTCGGCAAAGAATATGAGAAGACGATGCCTATTTCAAAAGAAAAAGCCTTTTTTGTAATCATAAAAGCAGGCATGCTAAAAAACAACCTTTTGGTTCGAATGCAAAATTTTGCCCTTCCATTTCGTTTAGTAAAGGTTTGACCTGCATTTCTTCGCATACAAAACGAACCTAGTCATTTCAATTATAACTTTTTTGAAAATAAATTTAAATTTAATCAAATTAATCATTATCAGATGCATTTAATAGGTAGTTCCAATTAAGGTAACAAAAGATAATTTTTCAACAATTACCGAAAGAACTTTAGAAACGCATATATATGTTTACGGAGATAATTTTTCCATTATCCTATCATTAAAAAGTGATAAGTTGTTTGAGAAGCTTTAGTTTTCTTTACCGTTTAAAATTACGATATGAAGTTTTTTCATCTATGATTTTCCAGTTAAAGCATTGGTTAACTAACCTGTTTTAAATAATTTAATTTCTTTAGTATATCAATGACTGCAATATTTTTACTAAAGTCAGTTGTGATGAGATCCTTCACATTTAGTACTGCAATGACTTTGCTTCTTTTTGAACCTTCATAAACTGGTATACGACTATAGCCTTTTTCTACGATCGAAAGAATCAGCTGAAAAATTGCTAAGCCAATTTGAATTTTATTTAATTTTTTGAAAATTATTCACTGAATCTCAAATTTGCACTTCCATGTTTCGGATCATGAAGATGCAAAGATGGTACAAAGAATAAAAAACTGGTTCTAGATCTCTAAAAATAACTATTTGTCTTCGATTCCTAACTTAAAATAATTGGAAAAACCTTGCAATATGAGATGCTTCACCCTCATCCTCCTTCTTATATGGAATCATGACTGACTGTATTTACAATGTTCCGTTCTAATCTGTGTTGTTTATAGTTCTAAATAAACTGTTGGAATAATTAAATGTCATCACATAAGTCAAATGAAAATTTAAATTCTAAACTTCACTGGGAATATGAGTCTACGGAATTTTATTTCACGTAATTAGTGTTTCTTTTTTTTATGGAAGTCTGATTTTAAATTTTGTAGCAATCTTTTTCTTTTAGATTTATTCATAAGTTAAACTAAATATTCTTTATAAGCTAGATTTTTATTTTGGATTGAAAAAAATCAAATCTAGTTTATGGAAAAATATTTTAATGTTAGCGGATGAAATAGAATAAATGATTAGATGGTTAGCATCAAAATTTTTTTTCGTCACCTGGCGTATTTGACGTTTCTTGTGTCACTCAGTAACTGTGTCATTTATAGCAAAGTGCATTTCTTCATTAAATATTTATGCAATTCTGATAACAATAGTAAAAAAATTACTTTATTATCAAGTGCATCTGTTGTTGATAAGAGAAATGCTTCATCAATTTTCGTCATTACATTACCAACTCGAATTCTTGGGAGATTGATCGCATTCTTCAGAATTTCTACAATGTTTTCATATTATTTATTTTATGAAAAATAATTAAACTGATTTAAAAAAACTCGAAATGAATATACCGGAAAAAACTGCAGAATTTGTTCTTGCTGCTTCCAGAATTAAAAATTCTATTTTGCTTCTGTCATACACTTCACATCCTATAAATTAAAGTTTTTCAAATTTTAGGAATTACAAAGTTCAGTTTTTAGGAATTATATTGCAAATTTGAATTTCATTGATTTGAGATCGTTTCTGTTTTTCAATTAACAAAAAGCACTATAATTTTGTGATGCAGTGAAAATATCAAATTAAATCAGCAAGAATAAATAAACCTTTAGATCCAATGACAACATCTAAAATCTTCGAAATTGGCCAAGCAATAGGTGATAAAGCAATCATTACAAACCATGTGATATAACGTGTCTTACTAGCAACTTGCAAGCCTCTCCGATTACATATTGCCTAAAATTGCAATGAGACATTGATTATCGTTTTTATATAATTATAAATAATAAGAAGAATCTAATAGTTTAACAAAAATGCGTATTTTGTTCTAATATATTAGCATGATAGTGAAGCTATGCTATGAAACGCTGATATATTAATATTTCAGAATATTCTTTCTCTCTTACCAGCGGAATTAATTCACCAAAAATAACAGTAATGATACATGTCACGAGTGTTAATGGAAGAAACGGTAATCTACCATCACTTATCTGAAATTTACAATATACAAAAATTCGGGCGGATAATTTTTACATTAAAAACTGAACTTAGCAAAGAGCTTAATTTAATTTAAATGATTTGCAAATTCTGTCACTTTAAGGATAGTTCCGATATAAATTATGAAAGCTTTTTAAAGTAAGAAAAGCATAGTAAGAATTATAGTATGAATGAGAGCTATTATTATATTTAACTTACGTATTCAAGGAAATTTTCCAGTAGTAATGATAATCCACAATTAATGATTGCATTAGCTGTTGCAAATGTGCAAATGAGCCAGTTGAGATGTTTGCGTACCGGTATAATATTTTTTGCCAAACGGCTTTTCTGAAATTTCAATTTAAATATTCGAAAATTCAATGGAATATTGCTTCTTTCGTCAATAATTTAATTATTCTGTTTCATAAAATGGTTAAGGTAGAATATTAAGTAATAATTTTCTATGGTGTATTTCAGCTAATTTTAAAAAACATACATATGCATCGCCCATACGAGTAATAATGTTTAATTCGCTAATTGCAACCGATGTGAATGATAAATTAAGGCCTGAGGAAAGCGCACTCATTGTTAGCATAAATATGATGATAAGAATCATTGTTTGCAACGAGAAAGGTGTCCAGTAAGGATTCCGTGATGCTAACATTTTTACGCGTATCTGAAGGTAAAGTAAGTTGATGAATTCATCTCTAATATTGCTCTTGATTGTTCATCATTTATCTTAAAACTAATAAGTAACCAGTTGAGAAATACTAATAGCATCTTTTTTAAGTACAAGTAAAGTCCGTATCAGTTAATGTTTTTACTTTTTTTCGAAATTATACAAAGAAAGACATATTTGATGTCATTTGGAAAACCTGAAAGAACCAAGTTTAAATTAAGTCAGGTACTGATCCTAATGAACTTTTTCAACAAGCTGAATAGGTGTGAAAAATTTTTAGAAAAAAAGAAATGTTGTTTTTCTGCAAGGAAATAAATGATTTCCGCTCGAGCTTAATTGATCTTTTGCCTTGAATAACCAATTCTTCAGTACATTATCGATAAAATTTTTGGAATATCATTGGCAAGTTCTTAAGAACAATCAACAATATATGTTATTTCATTTACGAATAAATATCATTCAACACTCAGACATAATATTCAAATTGACAAATTTGGATTCAATATTTACATTATGTCGGAAATCTTCATCTCATTTTTAAACTTTAAACATTTAATTAAACAAAGGCATACGAACATTGGCTGCAGCCACTTTGTCGGAGAGAGATGGTTTAACACACAATAAATATAAGCTATCATCTTCGGGAATGCCATCTTTTTGCTCTACCACCAACACATTTTCGTAAGAAAATTCATCGATTACCTTCATGTAGTAAACAGCTTTTTTTAAGCGAAATGAATCCTAAATTACTGAATTAACAATTAGTATTTGCACAAATTGCAAAAAAATGTTATCGTTTAATTAAGCTCAATTTGAATGACAATTAGTAAGGATTATTTGCAATTTTTTATTATTGAATTTTATATGTTAAATTTTTATTTAGGCTCAATTCCAGTACCACACAATGATCTGCATTGGTTAGCCAAATTGATTCATATCTGTTGGGCCATAAATTTGCTCCAAACAATGTCATCGTGAATTTTGCATTTGATTTTACTGTTTCTATGTCATATGCTGAGCCACGCCTTATTCCCACTACTTTTCCCATCGCTGGTAATTCTCTGTTTTAATTAATATTTTAATTAACTGATAATGCAATGTTGTGATTGACAAATAATTAAAGGATTAACTCGGATTGATACAAATTCATTTTCTCAATTATATTATCAATCGACTAATCTATTGTTAGGAGAACGGCAAAAAAAAAATTCCGTCGTACAACCTAAACAAATGTTTTCAGTTAACATCACTAATTAAAATTAATTGACAATTGGTATCGCTGATTAGCAACAAACTGCGTATTAAACAAATAGGAAAAAACTTCTTGCTTTAATAAAATTCATACAGAAACGCGAATGTGAGTGAATTGAGCAAAAAGTGTAATGTTAGCGCAACCATTCACAAAAACTAATTATTTGAACAATAACTTGTGTTTGAAATGAAATCCATTTATTGTGCCAACTTGTCAAAATTATTTTTTACATTAAAAATGTTGAAATTCAAGAAACAGTAATAAATTTTGGTTCAAATCTAGTACAGTAGCAAGCAACAGATTTTTGTAACATCCGTAATTAGCAAAATGACAGTATTCAATTGCATGCAATTTTATGAAGTTATTATGAAAAAAAGGGAAATAATGTCAGGAAGGCAGTTTCAAAACTGTGCTCAGTTTAAAAGGCTGTATATTGTAGTAAAATTAATTTTATTGAGAAGAGAAGATAAAATGAAAATACAGTGATGTTAATCTAATATTTTTGCATTAAAAGGAATTAATTATTTGATTTTCAATTTACTCCTTTTGATGATTTTCTTTTTTTATAAATGCAAAAATAATATTGAAAATGAATAATGTAGAATGGATTATTAGTCTTAATTATTTACCATAATATCTTTCAGGTAAACTAAATGATACTATTTGCTTTGTTACTGACATAATTTTCTCTTTGTCATTTACAAGAGAAAAAAAAAGCTTTAAGATCGAACGATGGAATTTTTGTACTGTAAAAACATTAATTTCTCGTTGACCAAAATATGCAATGGCAAAAATCTCGAATCGTATTGTAATATAGCGATTTAAAATCTATTCCTCTAAATACAATTGAAAATTTTAATGACAATCTCCGGTAAAAATACAAAATGCATTGTTGATATTATTGCAAGTTATTTCTACTCCATTATTAAACAGCAAATTTTAACAAACCGAAATTTTTTCTGCTCCATTATTAAGCAAATTTTAACAAACGTTTAATCTCAACCTTTTCATAGCATTTATTTCAAATCAAGATTTTTGAAAAAACTTAAAATAAAAGAAAAGAATTTAATTTATAAACAATTATAATTTATTTCCTGTCATTACTAAGGTCATTGGCCTCTTTCTGCTCTTTGTTGCATGAAACATTTCCATCAATCCATCATTTATCGGTTGTAATGAAATTAACGGATCGAATGGAATGATATTGGTTTGAACTGCTTGGATTGCTCGAAACCGATGCCAATTAATTTAAATTAGCTGCTAGCTATGTGAAATAATTTTTCGTAGAATTACTTCACATGAAGAATAGAAATTTTGTTCTATTGTTGTTGTTATTGTTGTCTAATAATTGAAAAGATTATTGATTATCCATTTTAACAACTGCGTATTCTAAATAAAGTTTAAAGAATTAATTCGATTTCGTACTAATCTTTTATATCAATTTTAAAATGAATATTTTCTTATTGCACCATTGATAATAATAATATTTAATCTACTGATAGCAATCCATCGATGATAATAATTAAAGTAATTTTTCAAGTAATTTATTACTGTAATATCTTTTATTTTTTTTTTACAGAAGAGGACATTGCATATTATTGTTACAAATAACTTTTTAGATTTTGCTAAATGATTAAATATCACATAAAGTAAAAAGTTGATACAAAATATCTTTCTAATAAATATTTTATTTAAATTCATTCTAAATTGCTGCTATCTGTGCATCGAATTGATGGATGAAATTGTCCGACTGACATCTTTGCTTCAAATTTCGGCTGATATCATTAGACGATTGACGTCAAAAAAGCATGATAACATAAAAATGTTAGCAATGCTTATCAGGAGCAAAAGAGAGAGAGAGAAAAAAAAAATGGTGGGAAGGAAAAGATAGCGATATGTAAACATAACGTACACGCGAGCATGGCAGTCCTGGCGGTCTCTTACATGCACCTTTTACTATACCTTAAAGTTCAATGCTGATTGATATTGTTGGTCGATTGATGTTTTGTCTTGAAAATTTTAACTTACTAATTTATTAATTTAAAAAGGAATCATTAAAATTTGTTACGGATATACATAAATTTCCTCCAAACTTATTTTCTGGCATTTTGTTGTTTGTTGATTGTGAAAGCATTTTTACGGAGCAAAAATTATTATGATAAAGTATTAGTCAGTTTGGATGAGATTTAATTAATAGATTTCATAGCTTGATGATTTATGAAGCGTAATGAAACACTATTAGGTGGAGGGGAACCCCTCAGGGAATTTGTAGTAGAGTTGGATGTAATGATTTTGTCGGAATTCATAAAATTCTTGACCTACCTGATCCTTTCTGATTCGTTTTATCGCAAGTTTGTTTTTCAAAATTTTATCAAAAAACAAATTTCAATAATGTAAGGAAGCAATATAACAGATAGCTGCACTCGATCGATGCAATCGGGATCATCTCATCCGTAGATTGGTGCATTCAGCAGGGTCATGTCATCTATTCGTGTATCCTTGCAGTTATGTTACTCGATGGCTTATATTGATTTAAGCCTTCCAATCTTTGAATTTTTTAGGATATGAAATTCGAAAAGTTTTCAAATTTGGATAAGCTGAAGAGAAACGAAAAAAGATTTTGTTTGCTTTGCCTATTTATGCTAATGATTTTTTCCCTCTCATTCTCCATTAAATACTATTAAGTTAATTAGTGTTGTCTACCTTAATTGTTATCATAACTTTAATGTCCTAAAAAGTTCAAAAATTGAGAAGTATTGTGACGTGGCGGCGTTGAAAAGGAGCGGGTGATTAGCTTTTCTTTTTGAAAAATTATCAATGATGATTTTCGATTTATCTGTGAACTAATGACGAAGGACAAGTCTTTAATAACTTAATTTTTAAATCTTTCGATTAGTTTTCGTTGTTGAAAATACCATTTTAGCATGTTATATCGCAAGTTTTTTTCTTGTAAATATAGAAATGAATTAAATCGATTTCCATTTCCATTATCACTTTGTTTTTGCTTACAGTTAATTGTGTTGTAATGTTTAATTTCAGATTTGATTTTATACTGTTACTACAAATTCAGCCTATATATTTATATATTATCTTATAAAGGGTATTGAACGAAATATATACCTGGAACTTTCAAGTAAGCGCTGTTATGTAAGATTAAAAAGCTTGGATCAACTCGATAGTATTTAAGATAATCTTGTCTTATGCGCTATTTAGAATTTGTGCATCATCTGTCCAACTTGACTTTGTCGCAAAGATGAATATGTTATTTAGCTTTCTATGATTATTGGAATTTTGAGTAATAGCATTGATATAATAGGGATGAGTGAAGTGCATTATGCTTAATTTTAATACTGAGTACCATAAAAATTTTAGTGATGCAAAGGACGGTAGTTAAATTTGGCAAATTAACAGAGTTAATTAGTTGCCGGAATGTGACTATATCTGCATGGCTTGGACGACAACAGCATCGAGAATATACTACAAAAGTAAGATGCTTCTTCATACGGTATCTTCCAATCTATACTATATTTTCCGAGTATCTTCCAAAAGTTTTTTTCTCCCTACTGTAAAAAATAAACTCATAAATTAACGAAATTTAAAGTTTTTGAAAATTCAAATTTTAAAATTTCTAAGTTGTACTTTCGGAGGTTTATGAATTTAAATGGCAGATAAAAGTTTTTTAAAAATTCTAATCTTATGATATTTCTAAATGCCTCACCTTTTTTAGCAAAGAAGTCAGATAGCGGATCCATATTCAAGATTTAAGGATCTCGCTTTAACAACGGGAACAAGGAAGATACTGATAACTGGCGCACTGGGACAGCTCGGATATGGATTGGCAACTACATTACGGTCTGTGTCTTATTTTTTTTTCAAAAATTTTCTCTATAATTATACAAAAGAAAAATATATTGCATCAAAAAGATTTTAATATTTGTTTCCCTGCCTTTTTTTTTCAAAAATATTGTCAATTTGAAATGTATTCTAACAGAATTTGATGGAATTATGCACATTTTAATTTTGTTATGTAAATCACTCAAATCACCTTTACCCAAATATTATTTTCAGCGAGCTATCGCTGTAATTTAATTATATTTCCACTTAATGAATCTCTACAATTCAATAAATGAAATCATTGCAGTAATTAAGACTGTTAACTTTTTTCTATAATTATTTTCATTTTGTTTTTTTTTTAATCTGTAATATATGTCGTAAAAAGTAAGATTAAAAATCGTAATTTAATGATTGCAATAAAATAATTAGTTAAAAAAAGTTTCCTTTTCAGGAAAATATATGGTAATGATATGGTAATTATGACAGATATCGTGAAAGCACGGAAGGATGAGAAATGCGGTAAAATTTTATATATCTGAATCTGCAAGTGGCGCTATTGTCGTTGCATTACTAAAATGCTCCGTGTATTAATGTCGAAATATATCACTTTAAGTAGGGATATGCAAATATCCTGCATTTTCTTGCTTTTTACAAATAATTTTTTGCTTATCCAAAATGCGCATAATTTCAAATGGACTAAAGTCAAATAATGCACTTCGATATATAATTTTTTCTACTCGTTGAAAGATGACTGAAATCATTCGTTTGAGCTTATTGCTTTACTAGCCAATAACTTTTATACATTAACTGATTGCTTCGAAGAGAAGGAAAAAGCTCTGTGTTATTGGTCTCTGAGAAGATAATACGGAGATATAAATTGAATTGAGGTTAAAAATAATCGATTGAGAGAGGTTCACTTGACATATAGGATATCATCTCGGTAGTATTGAGGTCATATTAATTACATCGGAATTTTTCTTTGCATGACCGGAAATTGCTTTATATCACTTATATATTGCGTAAACACATGCAGGATGAATTTACGATTTAGTCTTTGCATGCTTAGAATGACTGTTAATTAAATTTCGATTTGTTGCATTTTAATTTTTCCATTGACAAAAATTTCATTAATTTAGACCCGTTATATTATCTCGATATACTCAATGAAGCGGCTATCAATCAAATAGTTGTCGATCACAACATTGATACGATCATTCACTTTTCGGCACTGCTTAGTGCTGTTGGTGAAGCAAATGTTCCTTTGGCGCTTAAAATAAATTCCGAAGGAGTGCAAAATATTTTAGAAGTTGCAAAGTTTGTTGTTCACAGTATTTTGGAAGGATTAAAGAAAGCATTACCATTTACTTATGATATGGAATTGTTCTTGGAAAAACAAAAATAGCGCTTGCATAAAATTTAAACTTATTTGTATGTTATCGCTATTTTGATAATAGTAAAATTTTGATAATAGTTTGATAATAGAATTAGAAATGATAATAGTAAAAATGAAACATATTTTAGGTTAGAGATTTTTATTGAGCAAATTTTTTGCTTGTTTATTAAATTTCGGATCTGAGAAATATTTCATTGTTAAATTTAGAAAGCACAAAACACAAATTTTTATTCCGAGCAGTATTGGTGCATTTGGTCCAACAACACCTCTTGACCATACTCCTGACATTTGTGTCCAGAGACCACGTACAATATACGGTGTTACTAAAGTTAGTCGTTCAGACAATTTTTTGTTTTTTTTTTCAAATTTATTAAATTTCAACTAATGGACGTAATAATTTTATAACGATTTATGTAATTAAATGAATTTTATAAATTGTATTATAAAAAATAATTTTTATTAAGGTGTATGCGGAACTTCTTGGCGAATACTACAATGAGCGTTTCGGTGTTGATTTCCGTTCATTACGTTTCCCGGGTATCATTAGTGCTACGAAACCGGGTGGTGGTACAACCGGTAAGTTTCTAAAACAAAATTAAAATTTACGCACATTTTATTTAATCAAATAATTTTTATAATTAGCGCAATATATCTACAAAAGATGTTTTTTTTTTTTTAAATTATTTTTCTCTCCTAAATTAACATTTCTTTCCTAAATTAATTTAGATTACGCCGTACAAATATTCTATGATGCATTGCTTCATGGAAAGCATATGTGTTATTTGCGTCCGAATTCACGATTACCAATGATGTACTACACTGACTGTATTACTTCTATCATTTTAGTCAGTTTAGTTTTTCCTTTTTCTGATTTAAAATTTCCTCTAACAATTAAAATATATCATACAGTCTGTTAGTACATAAATTTAGGTACAGTTTATTTCATTTAACTGTTATTAATTACTGTTTAAACATTTAAGTATATTCGTGTCAACCGTATCTTTCTTTCAATCATATTTTACTTGCATTTAATTTATGCGGCATTTTCAAAAAAAAGTGAAATATTAGATGTTTTCAGTATCTGTCAGCTTCTGCTGAAAAATTAACACATCGAACTTATAATGTTACTGGCTACTCATTTACACCGGAAGAAATCGCCGTAGCAATTCGTAAAATAATGCCGAATTTCGAAATTGAATATGAAATTTGTCCAATCAGACAGAAGATTGGTTGGTCATTGATTGATCTTTTTTTTTCGTTTGTATAAATAATTTCCAGTTTATTTAAGCAGAATTATTTCGTTCCGGTAAATTTTATCAAAGATGCATTCAAATTTTTAATGAAAAAATAATTTTTTTTTAAAATTCAATGAATACTCAAAAAATAAGACGAGTTGTTTTGCTATACATTTTTAAAAGCAATATTTCACTTATTTTATTGAGAAGAAAAAGGTGGCATATGAAAATTACAGCTGATTCTTGGCCTAAAAGTTTGGATGATACAAGCGCAAGGAAGGATTGGAATTGGAAGCCGATGTATGATTTGCAAGCAACCATTGATGTGATGTTTGATTTGGTGAAATGTCAATTAATTGCTGAAGGAAAAAGTACCGTCATATGATCAACACCAGAGATTTTCGAATTGATCACATATTACCGAATGAAAGTTCTTTATCATTTCTGTTTTTCCAATATATTTATTTTACATTTCACTTGATTCGTTTATGAATAATTTGTTTAATTTTCTTTTCTTGTTTTTCTGAACAGTTTTTTATATTATTTATGCACTTGGAATTCATTCCTGAGTTTTTATGTTTTAAAATTTTCAACATATTTGATTTGGCATTATATTAGAAAGTTTTTTTCTCGACAATATTGATGCATGATGCATATTTTTGATCCTAATTACCATCCGTGTATTTGCATTTGCTGAATTTTCTCGAATAAAAAGTGATCCTATGAGAAAATCAACTTTATAACTTAACATATCTATACAGTTTTTTATTGTTCCCATGAGATTGAAGCGAACAAAACAGAAATCAAAACCCAAATTCTAAAAAATCATTTATTGTCCTGATATTTTTTTTAAAATACTCTCTAATATAAATGGTAAATATGATAAAATTGTTCAGCAATGTTTTTGAAATAAAATTTTTATTTGCAAAATGATAAAAACATCAACAAAACAATTTGGAAATGGATGAACATAGTCGATCAGGAACACATCCGCAACAAATCCTTACAGGCTGCAAAATTTGGGATATGTTATTTCGATTCCCGAGAGAAGACTTTCACATCCGTTATTTATTAATTAACAAATCACTAATGTTCGTTTAAGATGTTGAACTAACAAATGCGAAATCAAAACAATTATATATATATATATATATAGGTATTTATGTATGTATAGTTTAAATCTGCGATTAAAATCAAATCAGATGATATCCTGAAGCCAACCAAAAACTTTAACACTCTAAGGCAAATTAGTAAGATGGGAGATTCCGTGAATTAGAATAACTGTTCGTTTATCCCACGATAATTTCCTGCACTGCTTGGGAGGGAATGACGGTGCATAAGTAGACCAAAATATTTACGTTATAGTAAAACAAAACTTGAAAGTCTGATATTAACTGCAAAAAACATACTATCAAACTGAAGTTTCTCTTCAATGTTTCTACTTTTGATTGTTGCCTCATGATTCTGTACGAAGTATACTTCACCATTCTCCTTCGGTATCCAGCCATAAAACCGAGCATATTCATTTACTTGCTTATCTGAAATATCCTCACTATTTTCTTGCAGATTATCTTTACAATAGACAAATGTTCATGATATAAGAAAAATTAACAATTGTTGTCAAGAGAACGAGAAAACCAATAAGTCTTCTAATTTTCAAAACGTAACAAGAGTGATATGAATAAGTCACACTCAGCCTTATAAACATATGATGTCAAAGTATTTACCAAGCAAGTCCACTTGGATAAGAAGTCATCAAGCTCATATTACAATTATCCTCTGTACAAAAACAAATTAGAATTGATTTGAAAATATTTTTCTGACAATATTTTATTTTCGGCAAAAACAATAACTGCAAAAATATTAGGGATGAAACTTACCGGAAATTCCACCTAATAAGCGAACGAGAAGAGACTTTTCAATGTTCTGGAAAGTGACATTGATTACTTGGCATGCATCTGCAAATAATTTACAGCTGTAAAAAATGATAGAAATATTTAAAATTTCTAAATATTCAAACCTTCGAAAGAGTTTGCAGAAACATTTCTTTTAAAAAGGTTATCTGAAAAAATCCTTATCAAAGAGCAAGATTAAAAGACGCACAATTTCTCACACTTTCTTCAAATCCTGGTACTGCTCTGATGATTTTTGGAATTTCTCCAGGTTGTCTAAATGGTTCATTAACATCATCTAGCGGCCGATAGTCCCCTCGCATTAAACGCCAAAATACAGCAAAATTACAAGATTCCAACAAAGCTCCAATGTCAAATACTCTTTTAAGCTCCTAAAATCAAACGAAAATAATGGTCATATAAGGAAAAATTCTTTCAAAGTTAAAATCTTTGCTCCAGAACAAAGGATAATGAGTTATTAGAAAGCTCACCGGCGAAACAACTCGGCTGGAATCAATTAGATATTTTGCGAGAGCATAATCACTTTTCGGAGCCATCATCATCGTTTTCAATAATATTAGCTTCACCACATTCTCATTATATCTGATAAAAAATTTTATTTCTTTTTTATTTTTTCTTGGTTATTTGTAAATAGCAACCATTTTCGTAGTCTCAACTGGATTACATCATGATCATTTGATCTTTGAAACTCTGATCAATGAGATCGTCAAATACAACCATCCCAATTGCATCTATTAAATGCTATTCCTTCCTGATTTCCCACTCACAGATTACAATTGAAAAGTTCGATAGAAAAAAGCTGAAGCTCTTTGCGACAAATTTTTTAAAATTCAAAATTTTCTTGAAAACTTGAAAGTTAAATAAATGTAATCTACAAAAACCTTCTGCAATATTTCAAAGTCAAAAACAAAAACAGAAAAAAAAACTTGTCAGGATTAAGCTGATAGAGCTTTAGCGTGGTGACCAATATATCTTTGTCGTACTGATTTTCTTGCACCATTGCTTCAATGCAACTCTCAAGTGTGTCAACATTATTTGGATTATATCGATTCACCCCAGTTATCGCTTGATCTAATTTACTTTTTAGTTCCGCAAAAATTGACATCGTCCGTGCTATAAAAACTGGTACACAGTAATCACCTATTATATTTATATAAATAAACTTCAATCAGATATCACTCACATTTCAATCTTATTTTTAATATAACTACATCCCTAATTCTATACCAATATTTCCGTCTCATGTATACCCATCGACTTAACGAAAACAAACCATTAATCTGGAACAGTTTTCTTAATCTAGTTACAAATTCAATGATGGAAACAATTTAATATCCAGGCAAAGTATCTCGCCCAACCTTTGACATTTATTCCTTTAATTTTTACCGCAAAAATCTAAAAATGATTGTTTATTATATAAAAGAATGATTGATAAAAAAGAAATTACCATCATTCTTTTAGATAATAAACAATCATTTTCAGACTTTTGTGGTAAAGATTAAAGGAATATAAATATCAAAAGTTCTGCGAAGACTATGTTATGTGTGAATGTTATTATACAGAAAAAAATGACAAAGTCTAGGTTCTATCAGGGCAGGAGATGGAAAACAACGACAGCTCAAAATATGGACTAGAAATTTGCAACCGAAAAGGGCATAATAAAATCTTGATAATTCCTAACTTTGCAAACCAAACTAAGAGATTTGTCCTTAATATTTAGCAATAGTTCCTCCATAATTAAAATCAATAAATTAAAACGACAAAAAATCCAGCAGTGTCTCTGAATCGACGCATAAATTCAACAGAAAATGACAAATAACAAATTATTTACCAAAACTAATCACCTGAAAAATAATAAAGAATGCTTCCAGCATACAAATCCAAGAAAATGTATTGTATTAGAAAACTTAATATTTAATAGTTGTAATTTCTCAAAACCAAAAAATATCGCTTTTCACTTAAAAAAGAGGAAGGAATGCGCAAATATAAGTGGATACTGCATAAAAGTGAAGAAAATTAAGATTAACAAACATTTTATAACTTGAATGAGCTAATTAACAAATTAATAATTCAACCCAAGAGAAATACCGAAAACGACTTAGGCACATACAACACAGAATGCAATTTCATAAAACATGCAATTGTTAGGTAAAAATTTTGGACGAAATAAGATCGAAAAAAAAATGAAAGAACTGAAAAAATGAAAACAATACAAGAAAAAACCACAGATTGGTATATTTGTGATTTAATGCACATTGTTAAACAAAATCACATTTGGGGAAAATAAAAATAGATGTAAGCTATAAATCATCGCTCACTTATTCCTTAAGGCATAAGGTATATACCCTGATTACCGTAATTCAAAATTCCAAGAATAAGGGATGAAGAGATGAAAATTTTAAAAGTTTAGATTTTCTTGGAGTTCAAAAGGATTTTATTCAAAACATTTGTCACATATAACAAATATACGAATTGAATTTTTTTTAAGACCACAAATTACAAATTAGTAATACAATCTGTACTATTCTCAACATTATTTTTTTTTCAAAGTAAATTCCTCCCATAATCCCAACCACGGCAAATTTCTTTGAAAATGTTCGTAACATTAATTCGTTTTTTTTTTTTAAAACTTTGAGTCTCTAAGTGAAAAAAAAACTTAGAAATCAAGACGATCATTTTTAGAATACTTAATTCTGTCATCATATTTCTGATAATTCAAAGCAAATTCCTCCCATAATCCTGCAAGTTTGGTGGAAGCAGTGCACAAAAAAGATTGTCAAACATTTTTAAAGCGTTCGGAAGAGTACTTGCAATATTCCGTGACAGCCACGTATGCTGGAAACGGCTGCGAATTTCAAGAAGTCTGGAAAAGTAAATGGCATTTTAATAATTTAAATTAAAGGAAAAAATGTAAACAAAGTAACAAAGTAAACCTATTGGCAAGGTCAGTGCGCACGGCTGGTGGTAAATTGGATACTCCAATGTTAACCATCTGATAACCGATAAGCATTGTTTCCTGGAGTCTATCACTAGATGAAAATGAGGCTTTTTGATCATTTGGTGATAATGATGGATTTATACCATATGTGCAAAGCGACTGACCCAATCTATAAAAATGAATAAAGTTTCACAAAACCTTAAAACAACTTTTTTTCGAATTCGGCTCCTCAAAAATCAAGAAAGACGAACTTGCAAGCAAGAATCATAAGTTCGGTGATGATCTGTATCTCGGCCAGCACAAGTGCCAATTCATAGTTATAAGGAAAATATTTTTTTGCCCGATCTAGTGTTCTCAAACTGCGTTTTAATTCTATCCGCGCTTTCTGCAAAATCTGTTATTTACCAATAGAATTTTTCTTCCATAATTATTAAACAAATACAACAGTGTCAAACTGCTCCATTTCAGCTGTCTATAAATAATCTAAACAATATGTACCTTAAAAATGACTGGAGTTAATCGTTCTAAGACCATATTATCTGGGTTTAGTATCATTTCTACAAATACCGAAATCGGCTTTCTCTTATTTGATGATGGCGACGACGAATGTTCTTGCACTTCTCCAGCTATAAGCAAAGTTGAAAAAGGTTTCTGAATTGTGGTTATTGACCCACAGAGCAGTTATCTTACCAAAATGAAATTTTTTCCTTAGTAAGATCATTCCAAGCGAAAATAAGTCTAAACGTGGTTTGGAAAGCTTAATCTTCTATTACCAATTTAAACAAAGGAAAATTGCACAAGATGAAAATCTAAATAGTAAAAATTATTCTGCTGCTTAAAATATGACAAAATTTGAATATACCGCTCTCTGCAGCTTTTAATCCATAACTGAATCGTGTTATTTCATGTTCAACTCTTCCAATGGTAGACACCTGCTTAAACAAGACCTCCATACTACTGTAAAAATTTCAGATGTAAGGAAATAATTTTAATTAAGAAATAATTAAGGTATTCAACAAATTTTGGGCAAAAAAACAATTAGAATTTGAAATAGCACACAATAAAATGAAAATTCAAAGTGCCAACATTTCATTTTCTCGGGAATTCTTTGTGCTTTTAAACTGTTATTTTAAAGTTATGTTTTTAAAAAATCTGCTGAAGAACTTACCCATTCAAAAGAAAGTGCTCTGCCGTTATTCGAGGCAATAAGAAACAAAAACGCTTTATATCAACGGATTTATTCCAGCAAACACCCAATGAAGCTAACTCAGACATATATGATAATGACGGAGGCATTACTTCGCAACCGGTTGACAGATCACACACCATTGCACCTAATCAAAGCATATTGGAAATAGAATATCCTTATTCAGAAAAAAATTATATATAAGAGTGGAAAGTCTAAAAATTAACCTAAAATTGGGAATTTGCTGCCCAATCTAGTAGCAAGCAAGGCTTTCTTAGCTACAGATTCAGGAGCAGCACACAGAAAACCAGGATCGCTTGTCGAAAACCGTAAAACGACATTCAGATGTGGTGAAAGCAAATTTTCGGCCTCAAACGGATATTTCCCTTCTACACAAATTGTAACGAACGGTGGTAAGTGATTGATCTAAAAGTATTTTGTAGAAGCTTAAGCAAATTTAAATCCGGAACTTTAGAACTTGACTTCGCTCTTATAAACATAAAAACTTACCAAAGAAGCATTATTCTTATCGATATCCATTGAAACATATATTCTCGGTATTCTTCTCTGCACATTATTCAGAATTGTTCGATTTGATACAATCATAACTGCCAAATTCGGACCGAAATGTACAACTTTCGCGAGTGGAAAATCATCCAAAAACGAGTCGATGGTTCGACAGGCCAAATCTGATTCAATACAACTGGACTGGACGTCAAGAGATGGCACAAACTAGAAAATTCGGGACATAATTGCAAATAATGTTAACTGTTTTGTTGATATGGAAATGGTTCTAACAACAAATGAATTCTCTTCAACAAGTGCTTTCCCATGTGAACAAGAAATTTTTCACTAACTTAGAAAACTTAAAGCCTTTAAATGTGAAATGCGATCACCGATAATAATAATAATGTAAGGCACTTTTGGTTATGGATTCATCCGAAGAGCAACTATCAGAACTTCGGACTTCACCTTTTTAAATGTCAAAAAATGCCACTTTTTCAATGTAGACTTTTAGCTTAAAAATGAAGTCTACTCAGCAGTTGTTTGGGATTGACAAGATGAAAAATAACCTTAACAAAAAGTTCGTCACAAACTTGCGTTATTTGAAACAAATCTCGAGTCGTGTAAGGTAACTGATAACGATCAGTGGTTCGCACTTCGAAATTCACGAATAAGTGACTCGCTTTACAGTAAGCAATACGGGTGACAAATTGCAACAGCTAGAATAAGAATAAAAAAAATTCATTTTTTTTTCCTTTGGCCTTGTTTCTGTAAAAAATTCATATAAGACAAAGCTTACAGTTTCTGTGTTCAATATTTTGCAACCACTGAAATCTTGATAAACAGCTCGAAAGTATGAGTCTGGAGAGTCACGAATCGTTAAACAAGGTATTGCACCTGTGAAAAGCAACAGAGTATTTTCATCATCTAGGTGCAAGAAAGTATAAAACGAATGAGTAAAAACCTACCGATCTTCCTTGCTTGTTCGTTATTCACAGTGCCAGTGATTTTTACTATAGACTCAGGCGGCATTTCATGCAGTGTTTCTAATAATGATTCGGTATTTGAATTATTTATCTAAAAAACGTGGTTTGATTTCTAGAAAAATTATACAGCGCAATATATTACCACTAATAATAGATCAATAATTTCTTTAAAATTGAAGCAAACTGCAATACATAGTTCAAAATCGCTACCCGCACAATAATTTTGTGTGAGAAGACTTTAACATATTTGATTTATAAAAAACCTTGATAAAATGACATTTAAAAATCTTGGAAGAGAACCAGAAACTAGATAAATTAGCACCTCAGAACATTCTTTAAAAATTCTCAGTATTTGCACAAGAGTAGAAAAACCATGTCGAACGCCATTATGATCTTCTCCATATAGTTCTATGCCATCTTCACTAACTGTTAATGTATACGTCCCAGAGCAATAGCCATTTTCAAAAACCCCACACGTAATTCGGCCATCTAAAGAAGATTGCTCCCGAACCTAAATATTTCAAACAGTTCTACAATCATTCAAAAGATGGTCAGAATAACTCAGTTACAATTTTTTAATTCAATGATTAAATGATCGGAATATATTTCCATTCCCTTCTGCAAGTCATCATTATTCCATCGATCAGTGATAGATGATTTGCAGAAGAAACTGAAAACTGATATTTTTGCGATATTTGCTAGACGAGATGCAATTAAGTGTTAACAGTAGCCAAAATTTTTTAAAAAGTAGTCGAAAATGGCTTACTCCATGACCTCTATAATCCAATTCTAAGTGAATATTTGAAAGGATAGGTGCTGACATCTGGATAATTTGCATTAATCGCCGTGGTTCTGCCGCACTGGCTTTATCAAAATAGATTTTTAAACGACCATCTTTTGGATATGGATAAGTGCGTTTCCTGAATAATGAACTTTTGTTTATATTATAACATTATAATAAATCAGTTAAAATTATAAAAGCTGCAGCAAATAACATTCAGCTAATGATTTATTTACATACCTTTCATCCAAATCAATATATTTTGGCTGAGGCCATAATAAATCGGTCCAACTTTCTAACCGACCAGTACTATAATTTGACGTTTTTTCTGCAAACATCGTTGTAGTATCGGTTGATATTAATGAAGAACGATCAATTTCTGAGTCCATGGAGGTTGTGCGATGAATTGTGCGGCTCAATCTATAAAGGAACCAAAGATAAAGCACAATTCCTATCAATGTTAAAGTATAGCTGCAACTTAATCTATAACTGCTATTGTTTCAAAAAAGAATACTTACAAAACATTGAATAATTACGAAAAATTTAAATTGAAATACAAAAAAATTACGTATTCAAACTCAAGTTAGGCAACATAGTTCCCCCCATTTTTATAGCTAATTCGTAACAGTCCTCTCCACTTTTATTCTTTATATTTGGATCTGCTCCATGGCTTAGCAAACATTTCACAACGACATCATTTCCTCGACGTACTGCGTCATGTAAAGCTGTTTCATTCTTTGTATTTAATGCATTGACGTTTGCTCCACTCTGACATAGTATCCTATACAAATATCATAATTAGAGAAATCATTCATTATTTTAATCTATTACTACACACTTTGCAAATTATTTTAATCTTCGTTTTTAAAACTAGAAAAATAAAAATTTAAGATATATTCCCGATAAAATTAAATTTCTAACCTCACGGCATCTTCATTTCCAAAAGATGCTGCCCAGTGCAATGCTGTATTACCAGTATCCACAGCATCAATCGAATCCACGCTAACCCCAGCTGATATCATTTGGCATAGTCGGCCCAAACTACAACAAGCGATGCTTCACACAGAAAAAACGATTTTTTATTCTAATCAGCAGTCAATTACGAGAAAAGCAAACTTTGACTGAGCAGCGGCTTGCAATAATTCTTGAACAAATGCATTTTTAACTTCTTCAGAAGAAGCCATACGATACGCTGTGTTATTATTATCATTCTGAACACATGGGTTTACACCTGCTGATAGCAACGTTCGCACACTATCCACCGAATCTACGAACTTGTTATTAGCAACCATGTGTCGGTATTTTTAATCAACACATTGCAGAAAATAACTACTTGAAATCAGCTGAAATATCCACGACATTAAAAAACTG